ACCGGCAAAAATGCTGCCCCACCCGACAAAAAGCAGAATGTAGCCGCCAATACCCAGCACAACATGGATTACGCCGGCCTTAATCTTGTTGAGATAGAACTTATGGATTCCGATGAAGCCGAGAAAGAACGCGAGCAATGCAGCCACTATTTTGGACTTCTCCATTACTTTCCCATCCCAAAAGTCAAATCAGGTACCCATTCAGGCTATCCATCCGAGGCTGAGTATAGGAGCTTGGGAAAGTGGGGTCAAGTTAAACGCAAATACTATGGGTAACGGCGCTATTGCATCAGGGAACCTCTTAATAAGCTATTGAGTCCGCCGTCTAGCACTACAACGACGGGTTGTCCGGTAGGCCAGGTGGCCAGATGGTGATGGGCGGTTTGGGTGATGGATGCGACGAGCTTCAGGCGGGTTTACGACAGCTTTCAGGAATTTGACGCCTTCTTGGCGTCCTCCTTTGGCCGCAAGCAGTGGCGGGAGCGCAGCCGGAACTATCTTCGGCCCCTGCTGGTGAGGATCGGGGCGCGGCGCGGCGCCTAGAATATGTCGGAATCGGTGGGCGTCTCTGCCCGGGCGATGCAGCGCTTTTTCACCGAGGCCCGCTGGGACGATGACGCATTGACGTGGTACTCCTGCAGGAGTACCTGGCCCCCAGGCTGGGGCACCCCGAGGCGGTGTGAGTGTTCGACGGCAGCGACTTCCCCAGGCAAGGGAGGAAATCGGCGGGAGTAGCCCGGCAGTACTGCGGCAGGCTGGGCAAAGTGGCCAACTGCCCGGCCAGGATGTTCCTGGACAACGTCCGCCCGCTGGGCCAGGCGTTGGTGGACAAGCGGCTGTATCTGCCCAAGAGCTGGACCTCCGACCAGGACCGCTGTGCGGCGGCGGGTGTGCCGGAGGACACGCGGGGCTACCGGCCGAAGGCGGAGTTGGTTTTGGAACTGCTGGCGCGGGCCCTGGAGTTGGGCCATCTGAAGGCGGGTGGGTTGCCGGAGACGACGCCTTCGGGATGTCGCCGTCCTTCCGTGAGGGACTGGGGGCCGTGGGGATGTGGTATGTGCTGGACGTTCCGGGCGGCACTACGGTCTGGCCTTTGGAGCCTGCCTGGACCAGTCCGGAATACCAGGGGTCCGGGCGCCCCCGCAAAACCCAAGCTGCGAGATGGGCAGCGCCGGACCGTGGAGCAGCGGAGAGGTTAATTGCCGGAGGATGCCTGGAGGGAGATAACGGTGGCGGAGGGCTCCCAGGGTTCGCGGAGCTATACGTTCAGCGCCTAAAGGGTGCGGTTTACCAGGAGGCGCAAGCCCGGGGAGGAGCCATGGGCTGTCTACCGCCGGAACCTTGACGTCAGCGAGCCCCGCTACTACTTGCCCACCCTCCCGAAGACACAACTTGGGAGACCCTGGTGTACGTGGACGGTTCCAGGTGACTCAATAGAGATCGAGTTTTAGACTGAGAAGGGCGGCGTGGGGCTGGACAAGTGCGAGACCCGCAGCCGGGCTGGCTGGCACAACCACATCGCCATGTGCCTGCTGGGCCTGCAGCAGGATTGGGGGGAGAAACCTCGGATCACCCGTCCCCAGGTGTACCGAGTGGTGCGTGACATGCTACCCCGGGAACGGTTCAGGCCGGAGGAGTTGCTGCCGTGGCTGAAGGAGTCCCAATTAGGCAACGAAGGAACGAGCCGCTCCCACGAGAAACGCCGCTCCGCCCGCGGCAAAGTCGGACTGGAGCCTCCACCCTAAACTCGTCTTTTTAGTACTGAGATCGAAGGTTCTCAATTTTGTCTAGTTTGGTGGACTGGCTACGTGACTCCGCACGCAGTCGGCGAGCGGGTGGTCCCTTCCTTCGCGATCTGCTTCGATGTCTAACTCGCCCTTTTCCTCGACCACTTCGACCAGGTAGTTGGCGCCGCCGTACAGGTTGATGGTCAGGCGCGGCCCTTCGCTTAAAAAGCCTCCCTTCGTTTGTTCCACGCTCTCGATGTCGGTGTACGGTACCTCGAATAGGTGTTCGTTGAAGAAGCCGGCACGCACGAATACCAGGCGGCGGTCGGTGGCGGCGATAACTCCCTCTTTCTTGCCCGGCTCCTGCTGGTCCAACCTGTATTTCGCCCAGGTCAGTTGTTCGATGTCCTCATCGTCAAACAGCACTTCGAGGAGTTTCTCTCGCTCCTTCCGGTGGGTTTTGAGATGCCAGTTCGGGGACCGGTCCTGCCACTGGACGTCTATCTGGGACCGCCTGGATGAGGTGGGAAAGACGGGCGCAGCTGGCTCAGCAGGGGATGCTGGCGCAACGGGCTCAGTAGGGGAACCGGCCAGATGACTTTCTACGCAGGCTACGAACTGTTTCGTTCCGTCATGTACCTGACTGACTGCGTAGTTGCTGGCCCCGGCGCGTCCAACGATTGTTATGCTACCGCCCCAAAAACCCTCCTTGAATTCCACCCTCTCTATGTCACCGTAAGCCGTCTCGTCCAGGTGTTCGCCAAACATGCCGTTATACACAAAAACCAGGCGCCGGTCAGTTGCCGCGACAACTCCGTCGCGTTCTTCTGCGCCTTTCACGTCGGTTTTGTAGATGCCATTGATCAATCGTTCGATATCCTCGTCGTCGGACAGGACGTCGAATAGTTTCTCTCGTTCATTTTTGTGGGAATCCAGCTGCCATTCAGGGGACCGGTCCCGCCATTGAGCGTTAATCCTGGAGTACTTGGAAGCGGCGGGCTGCTCGGGGGACTCGGACGAATCGGCGGACCCGGCGGACGGGTCCGAAGGAGCCGGATGCGGCATCGACCCGTTGACCAGGCCGTTGACCAGGACCGCGAACTCCCCGGGGTATCCGGTCTGCCCGCTGTTGCGGGGCCTCCCTTCGTCCATGTTGTCGACGTTGTAGCCGGGGTGCCCGGGCTTTGTCATTATCCTCAATCGACTGTGGCGTTTGCCATCCTCGTACAGCAGCTCGCTGATGCCCGCGAAGTCGAGCTGTCCGGCGTGCTTGCCGAAAGGGCTTTCGGACAGAAAAATGAGGCGGCGGTCGGTGGCGGCTATGATGCCGTCCTTTGGTATTCCTTCCGTTTCCTCCGATTTGAACATGCCGCCCAGGATTGCGTGCAGCTGCTCCCCTTCAGCCATGATTTCCGGGAGCTTCGTGCGTTCTTTGCTCCGTTTGTTCCGGTGGCTCCAAACCGGCTGCAGCATTCGCCACTGGGCAAAAAGCCTTTCCCGTGCATGGTCCGGGCCGGGCCGGGCGGCCAGGTGGTCTTGCATCAAGCTCGCGAGTTCCTCTGCGTCCTCCTTCCGGGAAGGACGGATTAGGTAGGTGTTATCCAGGCCCAGGGAGGCAAAAATCACCTCCCCGTTCTGGCACTGCACCGCCAGCAAGTTCGCGAAAGGGACGTTCAGATTGGAGGCGTCGGTAAATACGCCGACAAATATGAGGCGGCGGCCGGTTGCCAGGGCGAGGCCCGGGCCTCCCAACACGCTGGCCTGCCACCACTTGTCCTCGACCGCTCCCTCCTCCTGGTACGTCGCTCTTTCGTCCACCAGCTCCGGTCCGCCTAGGGCGCATGGGGTCCAGAATTCGACGGACTCACCGCTATCCAGCATGTGGGAGAGCGCTGCCCGGTATGATTCAGCGTCGGCTGGCTGGCGCGAGCGCACCAGGCTGGTTAACTCATTCGCACCCCAGTCGCCCGGCTGCAACTCATGGGTTTTCCCGAACCCGGCGAGTCTTACCGCGTCGGGGCCTGCCGCTTCCACCGTTTCGATGCTCCAGTAGGGGACCTTCGACACACTCTGGTTGACCCGGCCTTTGTTCAGGAAGACTATGCTGCGGCCGGTGCAGGCGACGATGCCGCCGTCGTGTTTATAAACCTCCTGTCTGCCGACGAGCATCTTCCAGCCTCCGGCCCACAGGCGGTCGATGTTTTCGTCGTCGTCCAGGGTATCGTGGAGCAGCCTGCGCTCGCCGTCGTAGTCCTTATCGCCCCACCCGGGCTGCAACGCCTGCCATTGGGCGTCGATCCTGCTCCGTTTGTCCTGCATACCCACTGCGCTACCTCCTAAGCCTGCATACCTGACCGGGCATGGAAATAGTTCTACAACGACGGTTGGTAAAAGTATGGTACCGACGTTTTCTGTCTGACTCCCAGTAACATACCGGGAAATTCCCTGGGCAGCAACTCGCCAGATTCAATTTGACTTCTACGTAGCCAGTCAGAAGGATTGCCAGGCTTGTCCCATCAACGCACAGTGTCTTCCCCCACGGCAGAAACGCCGGAACCTGAGACTGACCATCTATTACTTCCGGCACCTGCAAGACCAGGAACGGAACCAACCTCCCGCCTATCGGGGGGAAATGGCACGGCGTCGGACCATTGTCGAGGGAGCCTTTGCATCGTTGGACCGGCTCGGACGGGGAAAGTCGCGGCTGGGAGGATTGTGGAAGAGCCTCCCCCCGCGGAGGCGGGCGTGGATTGCGAGGGATTCATAACGTTCATCGCCCACAATGTGCTGAAGGCGGCACGCCGCTTGAGCGTCGGCACGGGGCCACCTGAAGACCACCTGAACCTGAAGGTTCAGGTACCTATGCTCAGTTGCACTCGTTCCAGCATGGTAGGAAGTTGAACACCCATCCTCGACGCTCACCTCTTCACCATCAGAAACTGACTTTTTCAACTAGCCGTTTAAAGTGGGCCAGTCTTCGCCGCCAGCCCCCGGGGCTGGTTGTTCCCATCCTCTTTGGCCGGGTGTTGTTTTCTATACCTGGCCCGTGCCCTGATTCCGGCGGCGGCAACCGTGGGCGCCGGAATTAATTCCCGCAGAAGGGCAGGCGAAGCGTCGATAAGTCGTTGTGTTCCACAGACTGCAAAACGGCGGGAATGCACCCGCTGAACCGGTTCCCGCGGAGGATCAGGGTGTGCAGATTGTCCAGCTCGCCCAGTTGGGGGGGGTATTTCCCCGGTCAGGTAGTTTTCGCTGAGGTCCAGGAGTCGCAGTTCAGCGGATGCTGCCCAGTTCGGATGGTATTTCCCCGGTCAAGTTGTTCTTGCTGAGGTCCAGGGCCCGCAAGGCTTCGAGGTTGCCCAACTCCGGGGGTATTTCGCCGGTCAGGTTGTTGCTATAGAGTCGGATCACCGAAACAAGGTACGGCCCGTCGGAATCCTCGGAGGGGCCGCTTATGAGCCCGAACCATTTCCTTATCGGGTCGTTGGTCAACCACCCAGTTTTGTTACGCCAGTTATCGCCGTTGGTGGAATTGTAAAGAGCCAGCAGGGCCGGATTGATCTCTCTGGGAGAAAGGTTTACTTCATCGCAGAAAGGCAGGTCAAGGGCTGGCAGGTCGTTATTGGAAACTGAGGCCAAAACGGGCGGTATGCACCCGGTGAACTGGTTCCCGCTGAGGAGCAGTACTGGCAGGTGGAGTTTGCCCAGTTCGGCGGGTATTTCGCCGGTCAGGTTGTTTCCGCGGAGGTCCACGACAGTCAAAGAGCCGAGGTTGCCCAGCTCCGGGGGTATTTCGCCGGTCAAGTTGTTTTGAGGGAGTTGGAGCATCGTTACATGGCGAGGGTTTCGGGACGCCTTGTTGCTGACGCCGTACCATGAGCTTGTCTGCCTGCTGCTGCCCCAGTTGGTGTTGTCATGCCAGTTATAGCCGCCGGTAGCGTTGAAGAGGGCGATCAGGACCCGGCTGGTGATGTCGCCGGGGAGGGCGCCGCCGCGGCAGAGGGGCAGGTTCAGCAGCAGGATGTCGTTGTATTGCACCCTTCAAAGGAGTCCGGAATGCACCCGGTGAGCGGTTGCCGCCCAGGTACAGTTCATTGATGTTACGGGGGTTGTCCAGTTGGGAGGGAATCTTCCCGGTCAGTTGTTATTGCGGAGGTCCAGGACTTGCAGGTCGCGGATCTTTCCGAGTTCCGGGGTATTTCGCCGGTCAATTGGTTGCCGCGCAGGGACAGGGTTCTGAGCCGGGGGCCGAGCTCGCTGAGTTCCGGGGGTATCTCGCCGGTCAATTGGTTGTTCGCGCAGGCTCAGATGGTAGAGCCCATCCATGTCACCCAGTTTGGAGGGTATTTCCCGGTCAGCTGGTTGCCGCCAAGGTACAGTTCCCTCAGTGGTGTGGCGGGCATTCGCGCCCAGTGCGAGGGTATTCCCGTCCCCCGGTCCAAAACCGGTCTCCCCGGAGTCCAGGCGTCTCAGGTCGTTGAGGCCGTGCAGTTTGGCGGGGATTTCACCGGTGAGGCCGTTGCCCGCGAGGTTTAACCTATCCACATGTTCCACCGTCCACCTGGCTACGCCGCCAATGGCGGCCCCGGCTTCCCTTGCCTGCTTGTAGTACTGGACTCCGTGCCAGGAGGAAATGTGCTGGTCGCTCCCCGCCCCATTGAGCGTTATTCTTCCACTCAGCGCCGCCCGTGGCATCATACAGGGCGACCAGAGCTTCCCTCTCCGAGGTGGAGAGGGGATTCACTCTTCCGAAGGTGTCCTGGGGGATGGGCACGGCGCAGGCGGTAAGCAAGAGGGTTAAGGCGACAGCCCAGGCCGCCAGGCGTGCCAGGCGAGAAATGTAATTATGGGACATGTTGCTACCCCCCGTTTTAGGGCCAATTTAAGGCTTATTCGTCGAGGTGTGAGCCTGTGTCTCGGAGGTTTGTTATCGGGCGGGGCCTCCTGTCATGGAGTAATCCTTGCGGGCCTGGTCGTGATCCTCAACCGCCGGCGTCGCCGCCGCCACGGCCAGCTGGTACAAAGGACCCGAAGAAAACTATAAACGCAGGTGCAGTAGCCCACCAGGAACCTCATTATTATGATGCCATCGAGATATTGAAAACTGTGAAGACCGCCAACATGGCTACCCATACAATCAGCAGGGTTATTAGCTTCTTCTTCCATATGCCTTTTGTAATCATTCCGGTCGCGACGGTCGGGGTCTGTGGGTCTCCCTTCCCCCATTTGCGACAATCCAGCCGTAAAATTCCGCCAAACGCAATGACAACGGAATCTCCCATCCTTAAAAGGCAATACCTCGAAAGCGGAATTCGACCAGCAGGCCGCTATCTAACTCTAAGGAAGAAGTTGGCTGTTTTGAGACTAATGCTGTCGGCGCGACAAACCCTTGTGGCGGTCACTGTCTTCTCGCTCCGTTCCAGCTGCGGGTCGGTACATTCCTCAATGGAAGCTTCTGAAAGATCTATGCTGGAGTCTTCTGACATAAGAGCCAAAAAAAACCACCAACAACCCAAAACCACAACACAACCCCCCCCCCCCACCCCCCCCCAACCCCCCCCCCCCCCACCCACACCCACCCCCCCAACCCCCCCCCCCACCCACCAACCCCCCAACCCCACCCAAAAAACAGCCCCTGGTGATCTCTTCTGAAAGATTAGTCCATGTGGTGATAATTGCTAAAGCTCCTGCTTCTTCCTGCGACACGCTTCCGTCGTCGGGGACGCCTTGAAGCGACTTTACCTTCAGGTCCCCTGTGGTACTGGCCTTCGCCAGCGTGTACTGGTTGCTATTAATTCCGTCGAAGTGAAACACCAGGCTGTTGCTTATCTCGGAGCCAAAGTCATCCATCGAGCCCATATCCAACCGGCTTTCTCTGATCTGGGGTTCCCGGTACCACTCCCATGCGTCTGGGTTCCAACACCAGTCATTACTGATAAAGCAGGCCGCCTCCTCCAGGAATGTAGTAGTCCTTGCTGCATTGCCCGTTAACAGGAGGACGTTGTTCGGGAGGAACGTGAAGGTCTGCCTATTTTCTGAGGGATGGGCCCAGTAACCAACCTCTTGTATTTCCTCCCGCTGGTAGCCCTTGCTGATCAGGGTTTCCCGCAGTCCTTCTACGTCGGCGATCCCGCCAAGATATACCGACCCAGTAGGCAGAGAAACAGCGAATGCTGCATCCTCAAGAGTGAGGCTTAATTCCTCGCTCCAGTCTCCATTCCATCCGCTCCAGGTTTCCACCAGGTTCTGAAACAGTGGCGCCAGTCCGGGGTCGGCGGCAATTGACTCCAGGTCCACAAACCAAAAGTCATAGGCATGATCTAAGGCCAGCAGTCGCAGATGTACTCAATGTGATCTGAGTCTTCCATCGCCTGAGGCGCGGCGGTAGTTACTTCCTGCTCCTGCGACGGTGCAGGCGCAGCGGTCACTTGTGGCAAAGGGTTGGGTTGCTCTGTTGTGGCAGAACTCTGGAGGTTGTCGAGAACTCCCCCGGGCCTAACTACAATCGTGGTGGCTATTGGGGCTTCAACAGCGGGTGTCGGGGTAGGTGCCGGAGCGGGTTCGGCTCTGGCTTCAGGCTCCGTGGTTGGCACGCTGATCTGGGTGGTGTTCCCCGAAGCCGGGACCTCCTGGTTATTTGCCGGTCCTGTCTCTTCTTGGGCGCAGGCCAATGCCAGGATCATGATGATGGCCAGGGCCAATAGCGGGATCCACCTGGTTGAAACTTTAGTCATGAATCTGTCTCCTGAATGTGACTTGTTTCTGTGTTCTTTTACCTCGTTCGTAGATATTCTGGCTTACTGCCGCGGTTCCTTCCCGTTACGGACCTCTTGGCTTCTTGGGCACGTTTTGGGACGGAGGGACGTTATCACTCGGGTTTTTGGGGAGCCCTGCTGTTGAGGGCTTGAGAGGGGTTTCCCGAGATTGAGGCTTGACTCCTGCCGGTAAAAGGGATCCCCCGCACCACTGCGGCGTGGGACTCCTGTGCTTACTAAACTAAAGCCATGGTGAAATGTACATCTCGCTAAACCGCATTGCCGGCAGCGACCCATTTGGGGGCCAAAGGTGAAATGAAGAACTGCGGAGTCCTTTCGGTTATTTTCAGGATTCCGAAATGCACATCCCACCTTGGTATTGGTTTAGGTTTGGCCAAAGCTGGAATTAAGGTAGCCCTGTCTCGGCTTGCCGGGAGGCAACGTGCTCCGTTTATTCGGACTCCTGCGCGGGCGTGGTTGGCGCCTGCGCCGAATTACGCATCGGACTCGACAAGGGTCTGGAGGCGCGCTACAAACGCGTCGCGGTGTCCCTTGAGACGGAATCTTGAGGATCCATGTTGTCTATGCTGGATATCACATACCCGTCATGTCCTGACTTGGCCGTGATATGCAACTCGCCGGCTCTCAAGGCGACACCGTCTATCCCATCGTAGGGCAACTGGTTGACATTCTTTTCCAGCAGGCCGTTGCTCACGAACAGAAGACGGCGCCCCGTGGCGGCTATGATGCCTCCGTAGATCAGGTCTTTCTCCCTCTCCGGTTGGTAATCGCCCCAGGCTAGTCCTTCGATATGCTCGTCATCCTCCAGGATTTCTACGAGCTTGCGGCGTTCGCCGCCATGGTTTTTCCTGTGGTCCCAAATCGGGTGTTGCAGTTTCCACTCAGCGAAAATCCTGGCCTCAGCAGACACCCGCCGCGCCGCTGTCCCGAAATGCTGACTAATCAGGTTCACAAACTGGGTCGCGTCGGCTTCCTCCCGAAACCCCAGAGCGTGGACCTGGGATTTTACGTCTACGAACCGGACTCGCGTGCCTGCCCTATAATCTACAAACAGGATGGTCCCGTGAGGGCATTCTGTCAGTTTGGGTTCACGATTAAGCCCCAGAGCGCGGAAGAAGATGCGCCGGTCGGTCGCCACAGCCAGGACCCCGAAGGCAATAGAACCGGTATAGTCATAGCTTTTGCCGCCGCCCGACTGGGCGGAACTGCTCATTTCGCTCACCTGTTCTTCGCCCACCGTGCAGTGCGCCCAGTGGTCTATGTGTTCTCCGCCCATAAGGATGCTGGATAACCGGTCCTCCATGGACGCTGTATCCGAGGGCAGGCAGCTCCGGATGAAACCAGCCATCGCGGCGGCGTCCTGGTCCGGGTGAGCGAGTAGTCATACTTGGGCGTTACGACGGTCAGGCTGCCCGGCCCCTGCTCCTGCACTTCCCGGATAGCCAGGTAGGGGATTTGTGCCACGTTTTTGCTGAGCCGGCCTTTGTTCAGGAAGATCACTCGGCGGCCGGTGGCCGTGAAGATGCCTCGGTCGTGGGTCTCCATCGCTTCTTCCCCCAAGAGAACCTTCCAACCGCTGGGTGATAGGCGCTCGATGTTTTCGTCGTCGTCCAGCGTATCGTGGAGCATCTTGCGCTCGCCGTCGTAGTCTTTCTTGTCCCAGGAGGGCTGCAACGTCTGCCATTGAGTGTCGATCCTTCTCTGCTTCTCTCGTGACGCCATGATTGTTCCTCCTGGTTCAATTTCCCCCGGTTGGCCATTTCCATGTCCCTGCCGCGGTTACTCGCCAGCCGGGTTGGTCGCCGTGTGGACTTGCCGGAGCACGCAGTCGAACAGCGGCCTGGCCCTGCTCCGAATCTGCTTCTTGTCGGTGTGGTCGAGGTAGTGAGTGCAATTATAGGACATTTTGCTGGAGGTTATCGCTTCTGCTCGTTTGACCCAGTGCTGAGGCGCTGGTGCGATGGTGCCTTGACGCAAAGAGGAACCAGTGTGGTGCTCCGTGTAGCATGCAGGCTTGGGCTTGAGCATCTTTTCGGTCCGTGGCTTTGGGAACCGGTTCCCCGGTTCTCCAGGACGGGTCTGATGAGGTTCTCCAGCTCTGTGGGATTAACTCCGCGAGTGCGGGGCATTTAATCTCAGGCGGTCAGGTTGGTCCAAAGTGTCCGCTGCTTGACCCCAAGGTGGCTGGAAACAGCCCTGTTTACAGCCATGGCTGTAAATTACCCACATTTCGTAGCTGAGGGGGTGGCTGGAAAACCCGGTTTATTTTTACCCGTGGCAGAAAGCTATACTTTAGGTATTCCAGCCAGGGGGTTGAGCGATGACGCTTTACGGTTACGCCCGGGTTTCGGTGAGGGAAGGCCGAGGACAAGAACCTGGACCTGCAGGTGGAGCGGCTGGTCCGCGCCGGCTGCGCCATGGGCAATATCGAGCCGAGGAGGCCAGCGGGCCAAAGAACGACCGCGGCGGCCTGTGGAGCTGCTGGACCTGGTGGTCGAGGGAGACACCCTGGTGGTCACCCACATCGACCGGCTCTCCCGGGGGCTCCCCGTGACTACGGGCTCCAGGTGATTGAGGACCTGCACCTGAGGGGGAGTGGAGTTCCGCTCCCTGGCCGAGGACTTTGACACTGCAACAGCCAGTGGCAAGTTGCAGCTGACCATGGTCCTGGCCTTCTCCGAGTGGTGGCGGAACTCCATCAGGGAACGGTCCATCGCCGGTCAGCACAAGGCAAAGGAAGAGGGACGGTTCCCCGGGCGGCCAACCGTCCTGACCGAGCGGCAGAAGGAGTATGTCCGGGAGGAACTGGCCAAGGGGGTTAGCCAGCGGGAGCTGGCCAGGCTCCTGGAGGTGAGCCGGTGGAAGATCCAGCAGGTGGCCGAGGGGGCGTCAGGGCTCGCAGTCTGATAAGAAGGAAACAAGGCAATGCCGCTGTTGAACTACACCACAAAGGTCAATGCCCAGAAGACGGTGACCGAGGTCATGGGCCTGCTGGTGGCCAAAGGGGGCCGATGAGATATCCATCGTCTACGATGATGATCGGCAGCCCGCCGGCTGAAGTGGACCGTCCAGAGCCCCCGGCTGGGCCGGGTTGCTTTTGCCTGCCCTGCAACATCGACGCGGTGTTCGTCAAGCTCACCGAGCAGAGGGTGATGGTGACGTCGCCCGAGTCCCGCCGCCAGCAGGCAATACGGACATCCTGGCGGATCCTGAAGGACTGGGTTGAGGCCCAGATGGCGCTCCTGGAGACGGGCATGGTCACCATGGACGAGATATTCCTGCCCTATATGCTCTCCGGAGGGCAGACTTTTTACCAGGCGCTGGTGGCCGGTGAGTTCAAGGCCCTGAGCCCGCCCCAGGACTAAGCCGGTGGCGGTCATAAACATGATCAGAAGTCAGGGCGCCAGCCAGGAATATGCTCACTAGTGGGCCACAAATCAGTGCCTTTCGGATTTTCCTACCTTATCGGGTACACCAGTCGGCCTTCTTGAAGCTCCGATGGCAAAGGAACAACAGGGAGACGTTTATCAATAATGATCAGAGGAGAAGGGCAATAATGGTCACAGTAGTAGACCGCGAAACCCAGAGGTCCCAATCTACCGGGGGTCGTTACTGTGAAGGATGCCCTCGGTGTACCGACGACCCGTCGCAGATGTGCAAACAGCCTCACCCGCAGTATCAGAACCCTGCATCCGGTCTGCCGCCGCTGCGGACACTGCGTCCTCCGCGGTGAGCACAGCGACGAACATTTCAGACCTGGCGTAGAGGATTGACCCAGATCAGATGTCCGAACACCGTCCAACCCGTCGGTAAGACTTGGATACTGATTGGCGTACCCAGCGGCCGCGTTGGCATGGCCCAGGAAACGGCCGGCGATGACCTGCCTGCCCTTATAACCGCCGGCCGGTGGAAGAGCTCGCGGATGCCAGCGCTCTACATCTAGCGCCAGGCGGGGACCGGGATGCGGTGTCCAGGTACTATCAGGAGGGAAGCTTTCTCTAGGAAAGGTCAGGGATCCACTGCATTACCAAGTGTATCGGAAGCAGGGAATTCCAGCCATTCCAGTTAGCGCCTCCCGGTCACTTATCGCAATTGGGATCCTGATCATCGTACCCGAGGTCGCTGGCCCGTCGATAGATCCTCCGCAGCGCCTTCCTCATCCCCCATCAACTGGCGAACCAGCCCCCGGCCATAGGCGGAACGCCCACTGGATGGGTCCAATACTACCGCTGAATTGAAGTCTCTCAGGGCGGGTTCCAGTCTGCCGCTGAAGAGGTGAGCGTTGCCGCGGGTGAAGTACGCTACCGGGTCGTCAGGACCGAGACTCAATGCCCGGGTGCAGTCCGCGACCGCTTGGTCGTAGTTCTTTCCTGCAATGTTTGCGCCTCCACGGAACCGATAAGCAAGCGGGTCTCGGGGATTGAGCCGGATCGCGGCGTCCGTAATCGGTGATAGCCCGTCCTGGCTCTCCCTTCATGCGATAAGCCCCGCCCCGGCCCAGGTGGGCCGCCGCGCTGCTGGGGTCAAGCTGGAGCGCGGTGTCAAAGTCCTCGATCGCCCTGTCATATTCTCCCCGGTACCGAAGGCAGTCACCACGGGCCCGGTAGGCGTCGGCATGGTTGGGGTCGAGCCGGATAGCCTCGCCCAGGTCGGTGATCGCCTCGTCCGACAGGTCCTGTTCCCCAAAGGCCAGGCCCCGCTTGTAGTAGGCCATCGCTGATTCAGGTCTCAGGCGTATGAGTTCGGTCATATCGTCAACTAAACGGCCCCACTGTTTGCGGTGTCCAAATATGCTTCCTCGTAACACATAGACGCCCGCGTGGTCAGGGTTTAAACGCAGGACCGCGTCCAGGTCAGACAGAGCCAAGTCGTCCTCCCCCTTCGAGTAATACGCCAATCCTCTTTTCATGTAGGCGCAATCATCTTCGGGGTTAAGTCGGATGACTGCATCCATCACCGATATCGTCCGGTCATGCTCGGCAGTGCCAGCATCGTCCTGATCCTTCTTGCCAAATTCCCTGAGAAGTTCCCATAGGTTCTCTGTACCCTCTTCGGCCCCGAAGTGACGGGCCCGACGGAGGTACCGCTTCTGTTTGTTGACATCGCCGGTCAACATGGCGAGTTCGGAAGCCGCTAACAGATTGGCCGTCTCCTCCGGGTCCAGTTCGAGCGCCGCCTCGAACGCTTCCAGTGCCTCGTGCAGCCGGTCCACTCTCCAGAATGCCGCCCCCAGGGTGCTGTAGTAATGGTGGTCCCTGGGGCCCACATTCCGGCTTCAGGTCCAGAAGATGGTCGACTGCCTCCGCCGGCCTTTCGGTGTGGAGGAGGGTGGAGCCGATTTCAGTCCAGGGGGGGAATCCACTGAGGGTTCAATGCCACCGCCAGCCACAGCGCTTCTAACCCCTGTTGCACAAGGGCCTTATCGTCACGCCCGATGCCAAGGCCGGTTTTCACCGATCCCAGCGCAAAGTGGCTCACTGGCTCCAATGGATCGAGTCGGGCTGCCGTCTCCAACTCGGCCAGGGCTTCAGGCAATTTACCCTGCATCTCGAGTTCCAGTGAGCGCCGGTAGTGGGCAAAAGCTTCAGCGTTGTTCACATCCCAGTCCTCAAGTATGTGCCCTTCCGTCTTCTCGAGAAGGTCGTCAACTTCGGCAAGAAGCGCGTTGAGGTTAGCTGAGAGAACGCGCCTAACCCACCCTATACCGGTTGAGCGCAGATCTTCCCGCCAATCCTCATCCGGTTCCTCGTCGATAAGGGCTCTCAGGAGGGGCTCCGCGAGGCGGGCGCCAACGCCCAGCTCAGCCAGCACGGTAAGATTTTCCACACGATCTTCGGCGGGGAACTGGTCTTCGATTAGTCGATAGGTCGCCCCTGAATACCGGTGCAATCGTACAATGGCGTCGTCTGCTTCCCCAGCGCCTGTGTGCTCGGCCAGGAGAGCAGCAACGTCGCTGACCCAATAGAGTGACCGCAGCTCGAGGGCGATGTCCGACGGGTTCGAGCCTTCAATCTTGTCTGCCAAGGTGCACGCCAATTTAGCGAGGTTGTCGTTGGAAGGCCGTGCTCCCCGGTACATCCAAGCGTCCACGGTGTTGTCGTCCACACCCACCTCCTCCACCAAGTCCTCCAGTGAGAGGGATGCATTCTGGCGCTTAACGTTGAGAAAATCTCCTCGCCCCGTACGGCTCGCCCAGTTGAGTAAATTGAGCACTGTTGGCAACGACCCGGAAAGATGCAGGTGGGCAGCTATCCTGAGGGACAGGTCGATAACTGCAAGTCTTACAAAAGCCCCCCAAACCTTTGGCAGTTTGCTGGGCAGGACCTTTGTCATCCTTCGACGCAGGAAGGACCGTTGCAGGTCCCAGTTGTCCGCGTGCCACTGCAACATTGATGCCAAAGTAGGCGCCAACAGGTAGTCGTCCTCCCCTGCCTGCGGCGAATTTATGAGTCCGGACTCGGTCAGCACCTCTGCTATGGCGGCAATGATCTCTTTCCTGGTGGATTCCGTGACCAGGTCTTCCGGATCGCCCGAGAAGATACCGGCGGGCCGACCTTCCCTGGAGCACTTGGTGCCTGATGCCCAACCTCGTAACCAGGGATCCAATTATCTGGCCGCTGGTGGGAAGACGGGGCACTGCTTCGCGTTCAGCCATACTCTCCTCGTGTCATCACCAATTATACATCCATTTCTGGACCGGAACTTGTCGGGGTCCACCGTACTCCCCAAGGCGGCTTCCACTCCCACCTCATTGATGGGACGGCTGTAGCGATGAACTCCGGCCACGTTGTCGAAGAAGCGTCCTGCGGGTCCAACCATCACGTAGCTGCCCGTCATCAGCTCGTTGCCCTCGGGTACCACCGTGATACCAGGGACTCCACGTACCTGTTGCGCGCGACGTACCGGTCGAACTCTTCCCGGGCGATCAGAAGATTGTCTACCTGTCCATCATCCTGGCCCCCTACGGGCAGCGCCTGGAACAGCTTCCACCGTTCCGGACGTGCCCGGGATACGAAGCCTCCCAGATCCTCGTCGCAGTTCCCCGCGTCACTACCGTTTTTGACTTTCAGCGAAACGCCCGCCCTCCTGACACAACAACCCCAACACCACACCAACACCCCACCCACCCCCCCAAACAAACACCCCCCACCACAAAACCCACACCAACCCCCAACCCCACCCCCACCCCCACCCCCCCAAAAAACACACAACCACCACAAAAACCCCAAACACCCCCCAACACCCAAACACCACAAACAACAAAAACCCCCACACACCCACCCCCAAAAACCCACACCCCCCAAACACCCCAACCCCCCCCCCCCCACCCCCAACAAAACCACCCCCCACCCCCCCCACCCACACACCCCCCCACCCCAAACCCTCACATCCTCATGTAGTACCACGATCTCGCTCAACGGACCGTTGCGGGTGGTTCTGCCCAGGCTTTGCAGCTTGACTGGTCCAAAGTGTCTATGCTCACCGCCGCCCAGTCCAGGCAGCCGTCTACACGATCCAACCATTCCGGTGTGATGCAACTCCCGTGGTGACCACGGATGTGGTGAGAGCCAGTTCTCTGGCCCGGCGAAGCAGGTCCGGAAGCCAGCAGAGTGTGGGCTCTCCGCCGGCGAAGTTGATCTTTTCGGACCCCGCCTCGGCCAGCGCCTCGACCACCGCCATGCATTCCTCGGGGGCCAGATGTCCCTTGGGCAGGATCTCCCTGCTCGAAATCCTGGAAGGTGGCGAAGCAGAACTTGCAGCTCATGTTGCAGGGTTTCCAGAGATGGCAATTTACCGACGGTATCTCGCTTGCTGTGTGCATTTGTTTCTCCTGTTTGACCGGAGTCTCGGTAAGGTGTCCTTTTCCATCGTAGGCTTAACCCTGCCCGACTTCAGCCCCAGTTTTG